TTTTCCCTTGCACCCGTTGTTGTATGAGTAACTTAAGTAGATCTGGAGTATCCATGCCCCACTGATGGTTTGTCAATAGCTTGACGAACCGGGGAGGGTGTTCGTGTGTCTGGATACGAGGATGGTAGATCTGCTAGCAGCACGGGGGGGTACGTAGACAGGACCATGCGTATGCATGAAAACGTCTACTATGTGTGGGCCCCCTTTCCCGAATTCGGGAGGCCACTTCTTCCCTTCCTTTCCTCGCTCCCGCGGGTGCCTAATCAGAGAGAGTTAAAGCGTGTCTTCTCCTCCCAAGTACGGACATACCAACACCCACCGCCGCCGCGGGGAAAACCCTGCCGCCGGGGGTCACCACGCTCGTCCCTGGTACTGCTACCGATGGTTCTGGTGCCGCTCCCTCCGCTAGTGCCTGCACCCCGGCCGTCTACTTGACTGAGGCGTTTTTTCTTGCGATTCTTTCTCGCGTTTACTTCTTTTCTGTATTGTCCTGTCATCGTAGGTTTTCTTTGGATTTTTTCAGTAATTTGGCCTTGTCATCGTCGGCACCATAGTGGTTTCAGGGTCTTAATCGCGGTCTGGACGCCTTCATTCTTCAGTCACTTTGTTTTGTTGTGTGTCGTGCTCGAGCAGTTGCGGCTTCCGGTTCAAGAAAGCAAGGAAAGCTTCAGACAGGCAACGCCGACGAAACTTGTCGAGGAGTTGCACATCAGCAGAGCTATAATGTGAGAAACAACAGCAACATACAAAAGAAAATTAAAAAGATGACACGAACGGGTCACGACAAAAAAACGAAAATTATGCTCTGTTTTGCTTTGGTTGTGGTGCTGCTATATTTCGCCCTCCAGTAAACGCACTTGTTGCGCGTTCGCGAGTCCCTGTGCCGCGGCGGGTGAGTTCTCGAAGGTGGTCTCTACTCTCGATCTTGTCACACATTCCGCATTTGGCATGGCATCTGTGGGCCACACGCACACGGCGTGAAACGTGAAACGCCCAGAGGCTCCAGGCTCCACGAAAAGATAGCACACTCCCCCCAATTTATCTATTCTGCCAGTTGTGGGGCCCCTGCGACGACAGCCGCGGCTGCTGCGCGCGTTGGCGCGACAGCAGTTTTCACCCGCGGGTATGCGGTAGGTGGGGGGGTCGGAGGGACGGTGCACACTTGGACAGGACTTGCTACACGCTTTGAGACCGGTATCATGTCGCTAAGGTGAGTCAGGTGTGAGTGCAAGGCAGCGCTGGTGCGATGACTGGTTGCACCGGCAGCGGGAATTGCTTCTTACAACCCTTTTGCTGACAAGTGATTTACAGCAGAAGATTACAAGAAATGACCTCGCTACTCTACTTTTTCGCAGCAATTCCAGCAAGAGCACCGTCCGTGGGGGCGTGGTACATGCTTTGGCCTTGTACATAGGATAGGTGTTGATTCAATCTTCTCTTATTGCAGGGACACTGACCATGAGCAACGGAGTGGGTGCTGCTCCTGCGGCTGGCTATTTTCCTGCCCATCAACCCACAGCAGCAGTGGTCGGTGTGTGTGCTGAAAAGTAGGAACGACGTGGCGAATTTGGGCGTGTACAGGTCTCTGTCATATACCCGCACGCAGCGGCGACCGTAACATGATAATGGCGATGTATGTACCGTGGCCGGCCCAAGTCGAGTGGCTGGAGGAATCAGCCCCTCGAGGAATCATTGCGGCATGGCGATCTTCTTTTGTAACGCCCTCCGCCCATGTTGGTGTACCTCTGTACATGGATATTACCACGCTCGCTCCGTATTTCGGAACAGCCGTGTCACCCCAGCATCGATTAGCAAAGTACACCCACGGGCTGGCGTGCATGTTTGCGCATTACATGCGCAAAGCCAAACGTATCCGCGAAGGTTCAGACTGGTGCACACAACAGAATAAGCGGGACGAGAGCACTCGACAGAGTAGCATCCACCATAGGGCAGGCACGCGCTTCATCCATTGCACTAATAATGTATTCCTGTCTTTTCTACAACGCTGCTTGTCCGGCATGCCATTGAAACGGTGTAAATATTGGTCGCAGTACCGCTGTAGTCTCCCCACCCCAAGGGCTTTTGGCCTTAAACCCCAGGAAGTATGCGTTCCTTGGCCGTAGTTTAATTTACAGCTCGAAGGTATTTGCCCTAGCCAACATCTATTATCCCCGCCGTCCAAACGAAATGCATAAGTGTTGTTGGGGCAAACGTGAAAAGTTGTTTTTTTTCGTAACGTAACACAACAACCATCTCTATCCAGACCTAAGTCGGAGTAGATAAGCAGTTAGAAGTCTTCATTTGGAATTCAAATGCATGGCGTCAGCGGACACTACAAGCATTTCTACGGTTTCCCGAGCAGCACACAGCGATATCTCGACATCTCCCTGTGGGTAACAGGCTCAGCAAGACCAAAAGAGTTTAGTACGCCGTCTTGTGCATCTTCGCGTGTGTTTGCTGGTAGACTTTGGTGATGTTGAAGTTGTTATTTGCCTCTTCTGCGCTGCCGTCGCTACTGCTGTCTGCTGCAGCTTACCACCATCAGGACGCAAGGAGGCACCTAGGAGTGCAAGTGCAGCGTATGGTACATAATTTTTGTGTTGCTGGACTTTCATTTGTTGGAAACATGAACGTCATCCCAATACTTCCCTTTGTAATGTACGCCTTCCCGGCACAAAATACAGCTAGATGAACACGTAAATACCGACGGTATACACATGACGCAGCAAGCACCAAGCAGCAGTATGTAGTGGTCTGCAACCACCTCCTGCTTCGGAACTTAGAGACACAGCAGAGAGACCAGATTTTTTTTTCTTCGAATATGACCCGACGAATCCATCTCTATCTAAGAAAAGGGTCTACTAATCTAAGATTTTGGAGATCGTATACTAACTGACTGACGTAGTGGTCTGCAGCCACGTTCTGCCTGGACCTTGCAGCACACACACACAAACACAGATTTGGAAAGGGCGTACGGGCGTGATGAATTCGCTGCACTGACGTACCCCGTCACGGGGGGGCCCGCGGTACCAAGCGGTGGGTACCGAAGCTGAGGTGTATGAATGCGCTGTCTGCGTTCTGGAGCATCATCGGGCAGGTTGTGTGTTTACGCCCGGATGCTGGAGATATTGGTAGATAAACTTGAAGGCGGGACGGAATCCCTCTTTCCCTAAGAGGAATTCACTCCAAAGGGGCTCCGCAATTTGCAGGAGTCCAAAGATGCGGGGGGAGGGTGGGGGGAAAAAAGTGAAGAAAAAACGAGTGTGTGTATGCGAGTGAGAGGGGGGTTGGGCCTCTGATGTTAACCGACGGAGAACATCCTGAAACCGTCGGAAAGCAGAGGCGCTAGAGCATGCATGAGAGAAGCCACGACAGTAAAAACACAAAAAAGCAACCCGCGAGAAATTGCTTGCTCGCTTTTTTGTCCTCTTCAAAAGGCTAGCGGGCTACCTGGCGTTCTTGTGGGCGAACGCTGCCCTGGGGTGGACGTTTCTCCGCGAGTCAGCTGCAGGCGGCACGCCGCTCTCGGCCTTCTTCCGGGCGTGGTGGCTGCTGCTGCTGTCGGCGCTGACGACCCTTTCGTTGGTGACGCTCACAACCAAGGACCCGGGTAACGTCAGGAAATCCACAGCACAAGCTGGGTCGTCACCGTCGGGCATGGGCGGCGGCACCGGGGGAGGGGGGAGTGGGGGGGACGACCAGCTGTGCCCCGCCTCGGGGTCTCTGGAGGGTGCCGGGGGCGGCTTGGCACAGGTATTTTTTTCACGTGTAATCGCAGAGAGACTAACTTCCCGTTCGAGATAGAACTGCTTTACCGCAGTCGGATGGGGGGTGTCGAGAGTGGGTAGGGGGGGGCGAGATGGTGGTGGTGGTAGGTTCGACGGGGGAGGGTGTTGTCTACTTGCCAGGCTAGAGGCGTTTACCACACATCAAGACGGATCAGTCACATAATGATCCCAGATACGCTCCTGTTTGCCGAAAGCGTCGACATGTTGTCGGCTGCTGCAGCAATATGCACGTCGTCCACGCTGAAGTATGAGTGCTGTAAGCAGCGGGGCGTGTTTGATTTCAGCATATGGCAGCGAAAGGCGGTCGGTTTGAGATGACCCTCACCAGATACATGACCGCACAAACAAACAACGAGAGTCTCACCGCTTTTTTTGTCGTCCCGCGTACCTCGCCTTCGTGCTGTTGTGGTTTGTTTTCTGTCCCATTTTTTCTTGGCACCGCAGCAGCAACAATACTTCACGCAGGTCTGCTCTCTGTGCAACTACCTCAAGCCGGCAAGAGCTCACCACTGCCGAATATGCAACCGGTGAGAGTTTTTTTGTTTTGTTCGTCCTCCGCTCTCCCTTGGCGATTGTACTGGTACCATATTGCGAAGAGTCTTCCTCGCCCAGCGCTGGCGGACACACTTGGAGGAGGGCAGGAAAACACTGTTGATGTTTGCATTCCTTGTACTTTTTTTTTTTTGTAGTGGTCGTTGTCGGCGGTTCTTAACAATCGGTTGGTGGTGCTTGGTTCTCCTCCCCTCCCTGCTGCTTTGTAGCATCGCCCCCCTCTCCCCCCGTGTATTCCCCAATCCCACCGCTTGCTCAACCTTTTGTTTTTCCCCGATACGCTCTCTATCCATAGCGTTGTTTTTGCAATATCACGCCGGTACACCCGACAACGTGAATCCTNACCTCCCCCCCCCCCCAATCTTATCCCCTTTGTTGACTCCGTCCCGAATCGTTGATTGTCTCGCGTTGGCACTACATGATTTTCGGGTCGATGACTTCCACTTGAGGCGAGTTTTTGATTAGTCGGCGGCGTTGGCCTTGCCTTGACGTGACGTGACGATCGTTTTGTCGTTTCGTTTCTCCCTTTTCTCCGTCGTTCGCGGCAGGTGTGTCGTCAAGATGGACCACCACTGCCACTGGGTGGGGCGATGTGTCGGTGCAGGGAACTACAAGGTAAAGGTCAACCCTCTTTCTTTTATGACAGGATTAGGGTTCCGGGGTTCTCAAGATAAGGGTGAAGCTCTCTTGTTAGGGCTAAGGTTCTTACGATTAGGGCCAGCGTCAGTTGTTTTGATTGCCCCGCCACGGCAGCAGTCAACGGATACACGGTGGCAAACCCTCTGTTGGGGTTAGATTTTGCCCACCACAGCAGTAAACAGCGATCCCCAATGACAATCGGGGCTCTTGGTCCCCCATGTCTGTCGTCGTCCTACGTGGCAGCGGCTCGCAAGCGGTGGACATGTTTTGCAATACTCTTGTTATTGCTTGGGTTAGGGTTAGTTGCGGCTGACGTGACGAAATTCCGTGTCCTACTTCAAAGCTTCACCTTGAACCCCATTCCCCCCCAAAACAAAATCCACCTTAAGCCCCCCCGCCCCCCCTGCCGTCGAAACAGGTGTTCCTGTCGATTTTGCTCTGGGCATGTGTAGCGAGCATTTTAGAATATCACCACACAGCCCCGTATCACATTCTACCTATCAAGACCCCCCGCCGTCCGCTGCCGTTGATATTATCGCGACAGGCTTACCTGCTGACGTTGCTCTACGCCTGCTCAAGCTCGGGCGCCATGCTTGTGATCCTCTTGAGGCGGTGGAGGATGGGCCGCGCACCCGAAAGCGGCTCTGCAGCAGCAACATCGAGGGGGGGTGTGGTGGGGTGGGTGGAGATGGCGGGGGTCGCTGTGGACGGGTAAGATTAATAAGGGAGTTTTCCTCTTGCTGGGCGACGTACTTGGCCCCGTAGTGGCTGATTTGTACACTGCTGTGTGCCGCTGCTGTTGTGCGTGAAGATGGCGGTGCTATTTCGCTAGTCTCGGGGTCGTGCTTTTGTGTGCTGCTGCTATGCTGATGCTGACTGCGGCAGGATTTGTGTCCCTTTCGAACGCAACTGCCAGGTGATGTAGATGCAAAGTATTGTCTGCTGATACATGGGTGCTGTCTGCAGCGCCTTTGACACTTGCCACCACTATCTTGTGTCGTGCCTTAGCGACTCACAACGTTATATTCTGGAGGCAAGCGTATCGACTGCCTTCGCGAGAAATAACGTTTCTGAATAGATAGAACAGGGAGGGGGGTACGCAGACCCAATCCCTAACCCTAACCGTAACCCAACTTCACCGATTGTATGTTTTATTCAACATATTTACTTAAATATAAATATCCTGCGACGGCTACAGAAGTGTAATGGATATACGTGGCAAAACAAGCATAATTGAGAAACAAGACGTAGAAACAGCCACAACAACATGAGCAACAGCAACAACAACAACAACAACGACCCTCGTTGGGCTGTTTGCTTGCTCCCTCCCCTCGCCGTCCTTGGTTGTCAGGTTAGTGCTGGGGTTCGTCTTCTGCTCGGTATCGTACCTGCTCATCTGGCACGGCTACCTCGTGGCCGGGAATGTCACCACCATCGAGTACTTCAAGGTAAGAGCAGGGGCTAGCAGGACCGGTAGCATCAGCAGCACCAGCGACGCCAGCAGTGTTTTCGTTGTCTTCGTACGTGAGCCTGGTGTATCTCGGGGACTGATGTCGGCAGCAGTTGTTGTTGTTGGTCAGTCGATGCTCTCCCACCCTGGGGTAGATAAGACGATGCCTTACTTTTTTTTTACCTATGGCATCACACCTCCCCGGCCTGCCCCCCCCCGTCCCTGGGGTAGGCCGAGGTTCCACAAGTGGATCTAGACCTCGACAGACCACCCAGCGAAGACGGATATACGGTCCCTAGCACTGTTGAGAGGGGGATCCTGAGTTTGGCGGTTGGGAGGTACTGCTGTCGTGAGATCGGGGTAGCTCGTGAACCGCCAGCTTTGGTAGCTGCAAATGAGACAGGATCCTAACGCCCCGGCTTGGACACCCGAGCTATGCAGCGGCAGAGAGCACGGTGAAGGTAGCGGAGTGACCGCACGCCGTGGGGGCATGCCCCAGAGGGAGGAAAGGAGAGAGTCCAGTATGGAGGGCCACACCGCTCCGGGACAAGTAGACAACCCTATGGGAAACAAGGCAAGAACCGGGGTAACTATCACATTAGCCCGAGTGTTCGCAAGAAATAGCAAAAAAACTAAAAGAGGGGAAGATGGAGGAAAAGGGTCGGGCGGCGCGTAGGCTAGCAAAGAGAGCAGCGCGCGCCGCGCGAAAGAGACAGCAGGGTCAACTTCTTTGGGTAGCAACCTGGAATGTGCGGACTT